CCCCCACCCCACAAGGGCAGTGCTACTAACTGAAGATTTCTTTAGGCCATTTCCAAAGTGGGATATTAACTTGTTCTTATACACAGTAGAATTGTAAATGGGCTGATTTATCAATGTCACGCTCATACTGTGCCGAAACAACATAGGAGGAACTGCTGCTTTTTCTTTCCTCATCCTTACTATCGTCATTTTTTTCTCTACTTCTTTTGTATGCTTGTCACTCTCTTATGAACTATGCGCTCATAATATAACCTTATGCAGTTGTGAGCGCCGTAAAACCTCTACTAAAACTAAACTAAAAACAACGAATCTCTCCGCCCTCCCTATGTCCAGAGGCCACAGCTGCCGCCCAGATGACCAGCACGGGTTGCGACTCCGGCACCTGTCTGACTCCCGCCTGTCTCAGGGCCTCGCTCTACCACAAGCAGACGATGAACGAGGCGGTGGACCCGTGCCAGAACTTCTACGCCTTCGCCTGTGGGGGCTACGCCGAGGCCAATCCACAGGACGAGTTACTGGTGAGCCCAGATGGCCTTGACACGTAGAGAAAGATGAATAGAGAAGGCCTTGACAATTTGAATAATAGAGATGACCTTGACACGTAGATGATGAATGTAGATGGCCTTGACACGTAGAGAATGGTGAATAAAGATAACCTTGACAATTTTAAGAATAGAGATGACTTTGACATGTAGATGATGAATAGAGATGACCTTGACACGTAGATGATGACTAGAGATCACCTTGACACTTTGATGAATAAAGATGACCTTGACACGTAGATGATGAATAGAGATGACCTTGACAATTTGAAGAATAGAGATTAATCCCCACCATTATTTCTAAAATCATCACCGCTCTCAGACCTATGACTTACATATTCTATAATCCTGGAATCTCTATCTGTTGTAACAGTTACTTGTTGTACTTATAAGTATGCAATTAATACACTTTTGGACACTGTCATACGCACTTTTTTCTACTAATCAGATGGCGTCCATCTCATATAAATGGGCAAGGGATAATCAATATAAATAGAATTTCATACATTCATTCCTTCATTCATTCATTCATTCATTCATTCCTTCATTCCTTCGTTTATTCATTTATTCATTCATTCAGTAATTCATTCATTTATTCAGTAATTCATTCATTTATTAATTAATTAATTAATTAATTAATCAATTCATCCATTCATTCATTCGTTCGTTCGATCGTTCATTCATTCATTCATACAATCATTTCCCATTTTCTGTTCAGTTACTTATTTATTTTTTAAAATTTTATTTATTTATTTATCTTCTATTCATCTATTTCTTTCTTTCTTTCTTTCTTTCTTTGTTTCTTTGTCCAGGACGACGTGACACCGAGCCACCAGGTGCTGATGGAGAACACAGAGAGACTTGTGTACCTCCTGGAGTCAGAGCCAGACAGACAGCTCACGCACGCCTATGAGAAGAAGCTCCGGGACTTCATGTACTCATGTAGCAACCATTTTGACAAGGTACCTCGGCTCTTCTGTTTAGAAATTGTTCTTTTCTTTCTGCTTGTTATTTTTTTGTGTGTGTTTTCTTTTTTAAATTTAATTTGTTTCAAAGTGTTTTGGCGCGTTCCGAACTTCTTATGGTCATGTGAGCGCGCGGGTCACACCAAACATTTTTTCAGTTGATAGGAGATTTTGAATTTTGCGCAGGTGGCGGCCAAAGCCTACTCTTATCGATTTTAGACTACAAAGGGATCTTTAACGTGTGCAACTTACACATGGGAGAAAGAGTTTAGCTGAAGACGTTTGAGTGAGTTATTAGTTTTAACAAGACGCTACCTTAGAATTAGAAAGTTCTTTCTGACATTTTGGCCATTATGAGTTAATGAGGTCAGGAAGCCAATTTTATGTTCTTTCTGCTCTATCAAAATCGTCAGATTATTCGGAGTCGTTATCAAGATATTCAAAGAATTGCATTCGAAAAAGCTTGACATGATGTTGTGAAACTCAAAATCTTTGAAGTCAAACTTCTCAAGACTCTGTGCTGTGCAAATAGATAAGACAAGCTAGGCCCCTTTCGATGAAAGGAATGATCGGTGCTTTAACACCAACTGAAAGTCATTGTCCTACTACATTAAACACTCTACTGGAATGGAGCTATAAATCTTGAGAGAAAAGTGACACACGTGTTTCCAAGTTGCCAAATATAATAATATTCTTATCTAAGGCCTGTTAACGTTGTTCCCAGTAGCAAGAAAAAGAATTTGACAAAGGAGTGCAGAAAAAGCGATGATGGGCATCAAACGAAAGGATCACAGTCGAATTTAGCACCAAGTAAAAAAAAGAAAACATGATGCTAGATCCAATAAACTATACGGGTCGCACACTTAAAATAGTGCTCAGTATTGCGCGACAAAACGCGATAGTATCGAACGGAAGTACGACTTGAAGGCGGATTTTCTAAAAATTACAGAGACAGAAGCGTCGGCCTACAAAAGCGATCGGCGAAATAAAGAAATTTAGCATTTTGCAGCAAAACATTCTCAAAACTGAAAAAACGAAGGACGTCATGATTTGGAGAATATTTAAAAGAATCTTTTGGGCGAAAACCGCTCGTCGATCGATGCAGCCATTAAAAAGCCTTTTGAATAGCAAAATTCGGCCACCACTAGGTAAGATACATCTTTATTGTCCAGATCCTCATTGGTTTGGTGTTTCACCACGTGTACACACACACACACACACA